CGGTGTGTGGGGCATACACAGCGGCGCGCTTTATTGCAACAGCTGCCATTTAGCACGCCATTACGCTCTGGACCGATTCGCGCACCGTTAGTTGTAGCACATGTTGGCAGTTCCATCTAATTAAAAGGAAATGTGTTGGAAAAAAATTGTTTAATAAAAAATTCACACAAATATTGTGTAGGGAAATGATGTTGCCACAACTGTTAACGGTAGCAGCAAATGTGTTCACATTGTGGAGGTGTTACTAACTGGTAATGGGGAGAGAAAACGGTTGTCCAACAGATCCCAGGATAACCCACCTCATAAAAATGCGGTCACAGTAGTGGAGTCGTTAGCAGTGCATATTACCTGAAGTTGGTTATGGATTCAAACACTTACCCAAGAAAAGTGATCCTTAATCGATGTCCTTACTTCTATACTTCTCAACCTGAATACGGGTTTGTTTTAAGCAACTAAGAGCCCACTTGGTAACAGCTTTCTTATCCTCAGTGATAGCACTAGGTGACAGACATTTCTTAAAATTTAATACAACATGGAATACCAAACAGTTGCCTAAAGTCGAAGCATCTATAAATGAGCTCAAGCTTGCTGAGTTGCGAGACCCTCAGATTTTCGAAATGTGCTCTAGATAAGGCCGGTCTCCCTACTTTTGCTGCATTTATCAATGTTAGTAATACCCATTTAGCAGGCATACCACACCACTAAGTAGCGGCATACCACTATTCTGCAAATATCCGGCAATAGCATGAACAAAAGATCGCTTGAGACTTTTATTATGAAATCATATATATGTGAAAGATCCTCAAAAGCTCGCAAAATGGCAAGTTTGTTAGTCAGATGAAGCCTTTTGTCTTGTATTCTTAAACTATATAGAATCACTTTAGGCATTCAGGTGCTACTTTTTCTCTCAAAAAGAGGAGCTGAGATGCTACTTTCAGCTACTAAAAACCATTTAGAGGTAGTATAAACCTGCTCATCCCAGAAAAGATTGTGGTGGGTATTTTCTCTAAAATTTATATACCAAACAAAGCTGGTGACCACTTTTTTAAAAAAAATAATAGTAATGACCCCCGAAAAAAGAAATGTTGCGTTATTTTCCCAGGTGGCACAGAACTTCTGTAAATCCGATTTGCTATCAGTTCTGGTCCTTGTCAACATTCTAATATATCCTTCACAACTATAATTCCTATAATTTTACCATAAAATTGTCTTATACTCGCCTGCTATTATAATACTTTTATCTCTATGATCATTGGTATTAATATGACCTTTTTTCATGAACTCTTCGATCTCTCTTAGCATTCCCTTCAAGCTATGGGAACAACCTGTTAACTATCTTTATAATAATTCCGATAAATACTACTACCTTCGTTCATTGCGAAAAATCCATTTTTTTCCTTTAGTGACGATATTCAGAGAAGCATCTGAATTCTCGTCCACGGTATAGCCCCTCACGCCATCCGGCAGTAGAATTTTCTAACTGACTTTCGGTGTGCGAACTTTAGACTCTCAAAATGGTAGGCCTCTCCAGTAGACTCTGCGAGATAAAATCTGTCTCTTACATATTTGTGCAACATTTTCTTTAAATATCCCACTGTGCATTACACCATCCAGCTAAATTAACAGACAATTTGTATGTGGTTGAATGCAAATGCGTATAAAATGTAATATAAATTGTTTTGATATTTGAATTATTTATAGTCCAAAGCACAAATTTATGCTGTGGTTGTGTTGCTTGTTGTCGTAGGCAGCAAAATGTGCCAAATTTGGTAGGGCTGCCAACGGTAACACTGAAAAAGTCTGCTATAGATAGTAAAGGGAAGTAATTATTAAATTGTCTGTGAGTAACTATATATTTAATAATGTCGTAATTCGTTTGCCTTAGGAAGCATAACTTCCAATCTGCACCATTTGCATGCAGCTTTCTTAAAAAATGGATGCATAATCGGGCGTAGAAGTGGTGACATATTGGTGTGATGTGACGTTGATGATGTGATGTGATGCCGGTGTGATGATGTGATGTCAGTATGGTGATGTGATGTTGATTAACTTATGTGTTGTTATAATATGATGAGTTATTGTATATACATATATAAAGTAGTTGTTATTGTTTGATTTCCAAAGCACTGACTATAGGACCGTCACATAATATAACTAACGTTGAGCATATATACCTGCATCTCTAAGAACATTAATAGACATTCAGAACATTAATAGACTGAGGTTATATTTTTCCATGGGAAAGCTTTGTTGAGATGCTATAATCCGACTCTGCCTATAATCACTTAAAAAATTCAGGTACTATTTCCCCTTATAAATGCAAGGGCAGGGGTCAGCTATTAAAAGGGCTGCGCTTCTGCCCTGAGTTAGTTAGTGATGGAGACCTACACTCTCTACTTTAGAGAAATTTGAGGCAAGAAGGTGGACGAGGATGGCAATAATAGAAAATTCTAAATAAAATACAGTATACATAAACATTGTTATTAATATCTCAGCAGCTGCCGAGCTTTGTTGTAATCCAAAGTATATCTCATTATTTGCAATGGATTCCCTCTTGCGCCTTGAAAATGAGCTGACTCCACTTGCATATACTGGCATGGGTCTTTAATTACATATTTTCACTTGAAAAGTATGCGAGATATGAAAGAAGTTTGAAAGAGGAAAATGTGGGTACAATAAAGTCTATGAAGGCTGCAATTGTTACCGAAAGAGTTTTATACATACTTGTTGCATAACATTCATGAACTTACATAAAAAGCGAAAAAAACGGCAGCAGAACCCACGACTAAAGAAGCAACGATGCATTGAAAAATTATCAACATACTCACAAGTGTGTTTTTATATATATGTACATATACTCATATGTATACATGCACTCATATTCGCTCGTTGGTTGTCAAAATGTTTTCAATTTTCCACTTAATTGTTTTCAATTAACCAAAAGCACCACTTCAGGTCCATTTGTAAGCCACGCAAAGGGAAGCCAAGTGCATATACTGAGCATATGAGCATATGCAAACAACCAACACCAACACCCACACACATACACATACACAAGCAAACACATGTGGAAGAAGAGTAAAAAATACAGCAGAATGATTGTCTGGTTGCTTGAATAACAGACCAGCTGCTGACCAACAACCATTATGTCCATTCAATTAAATTACAAATGTGGCTTTTAGCACTGTTGTTGTGGCACGGGTAGTAGTGTGCTATTGGTGATGGTGGCCGTGGTGGTGCTTGTGATGATGTTGGTGGATTGTACAACAACAAATATGTGGAGAAGCAGCCAAGTGGCATTAAAACAAGGTTTTATTCAAAGGACAATGCAATGGACTTGGCGATGCAGTATGAAGAGGAATGTAGCAAAAGTCAGTGATGAAGGAGAAAGAGCGGCAGTTGTGACTTCCAGCATCAGAATGCCTTGAGTGAGCGCAATGTTATCAAATGGTAAGATGTGGCGATAACGCACTAGTGGCATGCAACTTAAAAGATGAAAGAATGAAAATGAGATGCTTTCCCCTTCACGTATTTGCATGAAGGTCTGTTCAAGTGCGTGGCACTGTTAATTATGTTGCAAGCACTTTTCAGTATCTGCCAAATGGATGTGTTGCACTTTGACTAGCCTCATGCAGCAACAGTCTCGGCACGTCAACAACATGCCACAAGCCACTAAAGCCAACAAAGTAGCAAACAAAACTGTAAAACGTTGAAAAACAAAACAAATCAAGTGGAAGCAAGCCGGCTAGGCGTAGCTCGCCTTTGTTGCCGAAAAGTGTTTGGACCAACTGCGTTGGCTGGAGATTCTTTGTGATCGTAGTCTGCTTCGTTACACTGCTTTCATGATAGCAACAAGAAAGCAATGAAATAAACAAATTTAAACAGCGAAGGTATTGGAGTTTACTGCTATGCACTTTTCGGATACTCAAAAGTTTAAATTTAAACTTCTTTTCAAGACAAAGAGTAAAGGAATTTGAAGTTTTCTGGTATATTTGAATGCTCCATCGAGCCGCTATGGACTTCTTTGTGGCCCCTAGATGTAAAAATAAGGCAAAATCAAAAATTTTGCATGATTGGTGGCAGAAGCCTACTACCTACGCCTCAAGGCTTAAGGTGGTCTTTCTTTGGTTATGCTACTTTGAAGTGCCTGGAAGTGACATGTCAGGTAGTAGGAATTATACTCAATAAGTTCCTGCCCGCAAGACAGATATCGAGCTTCTGTAGCTGGCAAAAAATCGATAGTTTTATGGATCGGTAAGTGGTACCAGATTGCAGAACAAAAGCTGTAGTTGCCTCGAGAACCTGAGACTTGACCTCGGTTCAGGCAAAGTGTATCCGGCTTGGAATGAGGACAATGAACTTATTTAAACTCGTTTTCCCGCTCCACCTCGATAATTTAAATTACGATCGACTGCGGGGTTAGCGAACTGCAACAACAACAACAAAAACAACAACAACACTCTGCTACCTATCTTCAAGAATTTTACCTTGAGTGATATTTAATAACACTAACTTACTTTTTTTCATTTTACCAATATTTCGATTCTGGAGCCATTGATATACCTCAGACGACAGATCTGGCCTACTAAATATTAAATCAGCTTTGCTAAGTAAATAATATAGAGTCATCAAAGTAGAGAACGAACAAAGCCCAAAGAGACTGGTCGTCATATTTCTAAATATGAAATTCATAGAAGGTTTATCGATTGCAATCCGAATATATTCAAAAAACTTTTCACAGTTTGAGAGCTGCAGTAGCTCATTTTCTTGCTTACCGACGTCGCTCCCAATTCGTGACGCCTAAAAGTATGCAGTAAAAAGTAAAAATTCGTGTACGTAAGCAACCCAAATTTACTCAGCCTCTCCGCTACAGTGGCTGTGGAAACATTAGAATTGACTGCATTCTCTTGCGCCTGCATGCAGTTAGATGAAGCAGCCGTCATAAGCGCAAGCGCAACTTTCTACTTTGGTATAATTTCTATAAATAAACTAATACAGAATTAAAGTTAATCCTATAATAGGAGAATTACAGAATTTTTTTATTTCTCTACAGCCACTTTTATGACATTTGAATATAAAAAAAATACTAATGCACTTTATTTGCCTTCTCCGGCACTTTCGTAGTAGCATGAGCGACGGAAGAGCCATGCTGTGGTGGCGCCTGCTGCTGCAACTCTAAATGTGTGACAACCTTGGCACTATCACTGCTGCTGCTACTGTGTAAGCTGCTATGCGTACCAGTCTTACTGCTCTCCACTGCTGCTGTAACATCGGCAATGAAATATTCAGCCGGCACCTGGCCGAATACGCTGCGGAAATGCGCCAAGAGTACTTTATTGATTTCCGCTTCGATTTTCGGTTTGAAAATGTCGAAGAAAACACGCCAGCTACCATTGAAGACCGCATTCGTATTATCGTTCAGCACTTTGTCCTTGAACAAATTGGCGAAATGTAAATGTAAGTCCTTGATGGAGTCCACATTAAATTGCAATGCTTTCAAATCGAAAAACTTGTGATTTTCAACGGTGCGCAATTTAACTTTCGTTGTAACGGTGTAGAGACCTTCAACTGTGGGCGGTAAAGAGAGCGTGAGGGTGGGAAAAAAATTATTTTTCATTTAAAGATGGTGGAAAATTATTAAAAGAATAGTATACAAAACTATTTAGAAATTATTGTGCGGTTTCTTTCCGCTTCAAGTTGGGGTGTGCATTAGCAGAAGTTTTAAAAATAATTCATTGCTTAAACTTTTTAGTTTCTTTTTTCTTTTTTTGCTTACTTATTTCCATAAACATTTCACCAACCGTGTCGATTTTGAGCAGCAACACTTGTCCTTGCGCCGTATACTGCCCATTAAGACGTATTTTCGGCACTAAGTAGGTCATTTTGAAGTCATACTCGTTGTCCTTGAAGCTTGAGAGGTGAGAAATAATTGAAATATTTTCACAAAATATTTATTAAAAAAAATAATATTTCCTAATATTCATAAAAGTAATGAAAATAATAAACAAATAACTATTAAAAATGAAATGAAAAGTCAGGCTGTTAGAGAGAAAAATCTGGTGGTTTTGAAATTGAAAATAATTATTAATAAAAAGAAAGTAAACACAGTTATGGCAAGAGAAATGGCGTTAGGAGAGGAGAAAATTTATAGATGAGAAACATGTTTATATTATAAATAATTATGAGAAGGGATATAGAGGCAGTGGAAGATGACAAATAATTTTATAAAAGTAATTTATTTTTACAAATAAAATAAATTGAATAAACATTAAACGGGAAAATTTTCTAAAATCGAATATTTATAAAAAATACATATAAATATTCATAAAAGTTAATATAAATTAAAAAAAATATTATTTTACATAATAAAAATATCTGTATAAATTAAAACAAATGAAATATTATTTGAAAAAAAAAACTTAAAAAACTTTTTTATAAAATTTAAAAAAAAAAATTATCTGATGGAATTTTTACTTGGTCCTGCATTCCATGCATCAAGGATATGTGAGGCTGAGCAATTATTTCATAAAAAAATATAAATGTAGTAAGGGTAATTTAAAAAAAATATTTTTTTAATAATATAACAAAATTTTTATAAATATTTTTTTTTTTTTTAAATTAGCAATAAAAAAATTCGTATATACTAATATGAATAAGGGGTTAAGTAAAGTATAATTTTAAAAATAAATTAATAAAAAATGCATATAAATATACTTTTATTAAAAACAAATTCTTTTGCATATTAAATTTCATTAGTTTTATGATTTATATTTTCAACGTTTTTATAATTATATTTACAACAAATACTACTTTGTAGAGAGCGTTCATTAGTTCCATTATGGCATAAACAATCGTTATTAATTACATATGTACATACAGCCGTATTATTATCGTAGTTTTTGATGCATAGAATTAATCTAAACTTTTCTGGTCTAGCATATATTAAAAAAAAATTATATTCAATCTTAATAATATTGCACTAACTCACACATGCACACAATACATGTAATTGCGCTTAAACTTACTTGACACTCTTCACCTTCGCTTCACTTAAACCGGTTACTGTTATATTATTCATTTTCACTGTAATTGGTGTAATATTTTCACGATCTTCGATCACTTCGAACTCGCGTACAAATAACGGATCAATGGGTACAGAGTGGGGAACGTCATTAATGCCTGCGGAATAAGTACAAATAAAAATTAAGAAAAAAAATGTTAATAAATTTCAAAATATTGCATATTGAATTCGAATTAAAATTATGTACCATGGAAAACGAGACTTTTAAATTTATATTTGTGGTAAAAATGTTAATATTTTGTTCAAAAACTAATATATGAATATAAAATATACTAAAATATATTAATTAATTTATAGACATAAAAATTTTTTTCCTTCACTCCCCCCTCTTACCATTTTTCCATGTACTGAATATATGCTGATATGCATTTACGATGCATTTATCAAAATCAGCTGATTTGCGCTGACAGGTTTGCAGATCTTTGGCTGTGAAGAAGAAGAAAAAAGAAAAACAAATTCAAAACATGGTGAGAAACAAAAAAAATTAAAACAAGTTTTTTGTTTTTTGTTTTTTTTTACTTTTACCACATCTGCGGAACAACTCACGTTTCTCTTTTAAAAAATGTTCATAATTGTTGTTGCTTTGCACAGTTTCAGTTGTAGAGCTCAATGCACCACTTTTGGCGGTGGTGGTAGCGCCTGTGGTAGTTGTTGTACTACTGCCACTGCTGCCACTTATTGGGCATGATGTGCCACCGCTGCAGTTGGGCGCATTGTTGTGATTGCCAAAAGTTGGCGCTGAAACGGCACACAATACAACGAGTGCGTATAAAATATTTATGAAATGCATTTTTTGCCAATTCTTTTTTTTTTCACTTCTCAAAAACTAGTACAAGTTAAATTTAGTAATATTATTTTATAATATTTATTGTTATTTGTGTGTGTGTTTTTATTTTAGTACACTTTCATATTAAAAGCCACTCGCGTTTTCATTCGCAACGGAAAAATTAATACAGATTTGTTGTTTGCACAGCGAATTGCAGTTTCGAACTGTTTGAGTGCACGCATAAAACTTTGTTTTTATTGGAAAACACGAAAAAGATTTGCAAATATCGTAGGCACACACGCTCACGCGCTTGTTCATGACTCAATGCTTAATTGTTTAATTTAAAACATATAAAAAGTTAGTAACGTATGTAATGTGAGGCGTAAAGTGGAGGTCACCGTATCTAAAACTGAAAAATAAATATCTTTATTTACGAGTATACAATTTAATTCCGGTACTAAATTAACTGATTTTATTTTATTTTAATTTTTATTATTTTATTTTATATACATTTAATTCTTTTGTTTTATTTATCAGATATTTTATTAGATTTTTTTTTATTTTATTTAATTTCATTTTATTTTATTTTATTTTATTTTATTTTATTTTATTTTATTTTATTTTATTTTATTTTATTTTATTTTATTTTATTTTATTTTTTTTTATTTTATTTTATTTTATTTTATTTTATTTTATTTAATTTAATTTATTTGTTTTATTTCATTCTATTTTATTTAATTTTCTTTTATTTTATTATATATATATATATTTTTTATTGTAAATTTTTTGTTTTTCTATTTTATTTTCGTTTCCACTTTCTTTGATGTGTATATTTTGTACTATTTTCGCTCACTTTTTGCATTCTTTCTCTCTCAACTCAAGTCATTAAAAAATTAAATGTTTAATCCGGTGCAACTTTCTGGAAACTAGTTCAACTTGAGTATATCTTTTGTTTAGTATTCTATTTCAGCTGGCATAGAAATGATGTAAAAATTCTAACAGGAAGTTATATAAATACACATACACATATGTACTGAGTTATGTATCAATTAGCTTAATTAGAGCGATTTCGGAAATGAATTTAAACAAGTTTTTCGTTATAAGATTAAAGAGGAAGTGAATTTATTTATAAAATTTTACTCTATTTAATAAATTAGTTCAATTCAGAATTCAGTTTTCTTTAAGCTCAGTTCCGAGATGAAGCCAGCTCAATTCATTAAAAGCGAAATTGCAAAAGTGTACTAGTTCTAAGATTTGTTATAAAGCCTCAGAATTACTTCTGAGTGTTTATTGTTAATAGAATAAATGGTGTCTATATTAAACCATATTTTCCTTTCTCTGTTGTCTTCACCTCATACTCTGTTAGTTATCATTATCACGCAATTCCAATATAACCTGAAAGGACTTTTCTCTGAAATGTTATACTGCCTCCTAGGCTCAAAAGTTGGCCATCTCTAATACATATAGGATTATTATTTAAGGTTAAAAGTGGCTCATATAAATGAATGGACGCTTAAAAATCGCTGATAAATCATTCAATTTCCATTTCGTATAAAGCTCAACTCTCTAATTTCCGCTTACAAAACTGAAATGAGGAAATTGATTTAGAGAAATAGCGGAAAATATTACTTTCCACTCCACATTCAAATATAACGTACATACAAGTATTCTGTATATAAACGAATTTAAATGTTTTCAAAATATTTTTATATTTTTTATTTTTGGCGAAAGGGATTGATGTTTTTATTACTTTATTCATTACAGTAAATACTGAATATACTATATTCAAACATCTAACTATACAAATAATACTCGACATGTAACAATATTAGATTATTAATTCGCACTAATAAATAAAATATTTACTTTTATATTTGTATGTATCAACATTTGCAAGTATATCTGGTATATTTTAACATAAATTTAAAATATGTATGTACGATTTATCTATTATATGTAATTGACTTGATAATAAATATATAAATGTTTCTAACTGTAGTTGTCTGGGTATGTAATATATGTATTTATTAACTTTTCATTATATTTTTTCTTGCTAAGCTTTACTTACTGCACCTTTTACAATAATAACAATATTCTTTTAGCGCTATAAAGCTTTGACTAATTGAAATTCTTATTAATATTTAATTAAATATATTTAATATATTTATTATATTACAGTATATGATCTTACATCTACGACTTAGCGGTAACATTTAAATATATAATAATAAATACAAATATATAAAAATAATTTGACTTTTGGTGAATGGTTGGAAAAAAGGGAAACTGACGATTTTAAGCTGAGGATGAAGTGCATATAAGAGTTTATTTACACAAGCATTTATACGATTCAGTACTTTGGACAAAAAAGTCAAGATCGCTATGGTTTTGTGGTTTCCCGTCGAATTTTTAATTGAAATAAATATATCTAGCGAACTTCATAATGGTGTTGAAGACATAAGTAACAAGGCAAAATTTTAGGTATTAAGCATTTGAAATATTTGGAAAGATTGCCCTCTAACCACATCACACTGAGAACAGACTCGCCAACAGCACCAGCATCAATACTAGGAGAGGCAGTAATTCAAGTTCAATGATGTGTAGGTCATATTAAGATGGAATCATGTAGAAAATCATAGGAGAGAGAGAGAGAGAGAGAGAGAGAGAGAGAGAGGGAGAGAAAGAGGAGAGAGAACATTTCTAAGGATATAGGAAGACTTAGGAGGAAAATATTGCTGATTAAAACGACAAGTAACAAGAGTGAGAGTTCTATGTAATATGATGTGTTAGTGTGTGGGTAGTTTAAGCGCTGCTTAATTACCATTACGGCGATCAAGTGAGGAAAAGGTATTCCTTAAACAATTTTACTATGATTTTTTTATAACTAATCAGAATTTTAATAGATTTTTAGAGGGTCCAGTATTGCTTTACAGTAAAATAAATTCTGTATGGGTTGTTTACGAGTGTGGTTCCAAGGAGCTATGATGCTGTAGAAAAGGATACCGCTCTATATATAATATAATCAGTATGCAGCATTCGATTTAAAATCGGGCTTAATCTTTCGCCATTGGCTGACAGAAGTAAGTTATAGATCGCCTTTTACCTTTTACTGAAGCTTACCACTTCCATCTGATCTGAATTTACATGCAACCTGCTGTCCTTCATACTATGCATTGTATAAAGCATTTTGGAATATGTCCCTGTCCTTGGGAGCGAAATTTCGTTTCTGGAGTGGCATGTTTTAAGTGAGAAGTGCATCCTTTTGCTGCGTCTGATAACACACACTTTGTCCATGGCAGCGAAGTTTAGCTGTGCTTTTAGCTGTAGCTTTTTTGTAGATGTAGGCGAACTCTTAAAGATTTTAATAAAAGGCGTAGTTAATTTAAAAAGCCGCAGTCCCTTGGCCATATCTCTAATTTATATGAAGCTTATACTAGTCACATTCTATAAGCGGTAGATGTACTTTCGGCGCTTATGGGCTTAGCAAATGTTGCACAGGGACGCGATCAAGACATCTGTAGCGAATTGTAGTTCGGAGGAAACTATGCAAAGTTATATTCTTAATTCCTGTAGTCCAGACTTTTGTCGCAAAGTATAATCTGTTTTCATATTTAATCCGATTAGTTCTACATAATATCTCACTCTGACTTTCAGAACACCCAAGAAACATTATATTCACATGAATGTCCACAAGATGTGATCCAGCTCATGGAGAGCTTACATATCCCCTATAACTCTCAGCTAAAATCATGAAAATTATAAAACCGCAATAGTTAGATACACTTTGGCAATCAAACAACTTCATCATCAGCCCAACAAGCGGTCAACTAACAAGTGTTCCACTCTTTTACTAGAAATTCATTGCCAATGAGCCCATCCTGGACCAACACACAGACGCCTCTATATACATACACGTACCTAAGTGCTACCAATTTAAAAGGTGCTTGCGATAATGAAATGCGCCACATTTCACTTGGCTTGACAATTTAATAAAAACACATACGCCTGTGCATTCAGCGACCAGCTGCCTTTGGCATTTCCATAAAGCACCATTATCAGTTGAAGTCACAGACAGTCGTAGCGCGGCGCACAAGTGCAGAGAAGCGTTGGAAGATAACGAAAAAAAAAAGCAGAAGAAGTAATCTGGTCTTGTACCTCAACACTTGAGTGCGCGCTGTCGGCGTGGCTGCCCCGCCTTGGTGTGCGTGGTCAATTGCTATCAACCCATTTTCGATAGCGCAAAATGACTCTACAGTTGGTACAGAACACATCTTCTTCCTCTACATTTTCCTTTAAATAACACTTCGAACCATTTCCATTGGAGCACGGCAACAATAAAAGCAACAAGTCTAACTAGGAGTATGAGTTCCATGATGGCTGGTGCCACCGTGACACCATCGTTATCATATCTCTTTTGGTCATTCTGGCATATCGAGTTGTCATTGAGTTAATGTCCAATACACTTGAAGAAATTACTTCACTTTATGTTTGTATTTGCTTGCAATATGGTGGTCGATGTCAGCTTGTGTGGTAGGCGTAGAGGCGTTAGAGCAGAGTTGCCGGATGATATTCTCAATTGTGGTTTGAAAAATGTCAGGAAATTAGCAAAAATCTTTGGAGATGGGCTATAGATCCTCTCTATTCGAAAGGCCACTATCTCCTCTGTGCTTTCGACGTCCTATATTTTGAATGCAGGCGTTTAGCCGAGTGGATTCCGAAAAAATAAATCTCCTTAAACCTTGCGACAAGTCACTGTCAAGATGGGATCAGTAAAGTGTGGCAAACGAGAGAGCATAAATGGCTTCCGCATAGCCTCTCCTAGTCTTATCGCCTTTCTCTTCGATCGGAGCGTGAACGCAGGTATCGAAAAGTTGGAAAAACTGAAGTTTATGTGGCTTGTGAGTGAAAATTCAACCAGCGGGGCTTACGATAGTCTTCCTTCCAATCACAAAACCAAAACTAATAACAAAGCGGACCTAAGTTCTTTTGTATTTGTTCTATACATTGCAAATAAGATGTCGGTGATGTCAGGTATAGTGACAAGAGCAAAGTTACCACCCCTTTAACGAACGGCAAATCGAGTCTGCAAACAGGTGTACTAAGCATTATTACCGTTGTTGTTGTCATTTATTGTTTGAACTAAGACAATCCATGTTCTTTTAGTAACAACAAAAACGTCTTACATCATCCAACATCTGGCAACTTTGTAAT